ACTGCTGATGCAGGGAACTCCATCAGCCATTTATCTGCCCATGCCTTCAACTGATCTATATCGTGCTGAATCCTCTGACAAACCTGCTCACTATCCGCAACTCCTCCAAGCTTTGTGCCATCCAGAAACAAACTATTTAGACCAGCCATGTATTGCTCCAAATCATTTATGTAGACCACGAACAACAGAGATCCCGGCATTGATCCCTGTGGAACACCACTAGTCACAGCTTTCCATTCCGATTTGCATTCTTCTACCCCTACCCACTGTCTCCTATGACACCCCTGATACCGTGTGACTGCACATTTTGTACCAGTCTGCTATGAGGGACCTTGTTAAAGGCTTTACTGAAATCCATGTAGAGAACATCAACAGCTTTTCTGTCATCAATCATCTTCGTCACCTCCTCAAAAAAGTCGATCAAATTAGTGAGGCACAACCTCCCTCGCACAAAACCACATTGTCTATCGCTAATAAGCCCACTTGCTTCTAAATGTGTATTGATTTTATCCCTGAGAATCTTTTTCCAATAATTTCCCTACCACTGACTTGAGGCTCACAGGCCTGTAATTTCCTGGATTATCCCTGCTACCCTTCTTAAACAGTGGGACTACATTGGCTATTCTCCAGTTCTCTGGGACTTCACCTGTGGCCAAAGAGGATACAAAGATGTCTGTCAATGCTCCAGCAATTTGTTCTCTCACCTCCCTCAATACTCTGGGATAGATCCCACCAGGACCCGGGGACTTATCTACATTAGGGTGGCATGGTGGCTCAGTGTTTAGCACTGTTGCCTCACAGCGCCAGGGACCCGGATTTGATTCCAGCCTCGGGTGACTGTCTGTGTGGAGTTTGCATGTCCTCCCTGTGTCTGCGTGGGTGTCCGCTGGGTGCTCCTGTTTCCTCCCACAGTCCAAAGATTTGCAGGGTAGGTGGATTGACCATGCTAAATTGCCTTTAGTGTTCAGGGATGTGCAGATTAGGTGGGTTTAGGGGGATGGGTCTGGGTGGGATGCTCTGAGGTTCAGTGTGGATTTGTTGGGCCAAAGGGTCTGTTTCTGCACTGTAGGGATTCTATATAAATAATAAAAAAATACTTTTTAGACACTCAACACCTCTTCCTTTTTAATAGCAACTTGACTTAGAAATTTAACACTCCCTTCCCTGAGAGCATCCGCCACCAATTGTTTCTCTTTGGTGAATACCGACGCAAAGTATTCATTTAGGACCTCCCCTACCTCTTCTGGCTCCGAATGTAGATTCCCTCCTTTGTTCTTGAGTGGGCCAATCCTTTCCCTGGCTACCCTCTTGCATTTTATTTATGTATAGAAATCCTTGGGATTCTCTTTAATTTTATTTGCTAATGACTTTTCATGACCCCTTTTAGCCCTTCTAATTCCTTGTTTAAGTTCTTTCCTACTTAAATATTTCAAGGTCTTTGTCAATTCCCATCCTCCTTATGTATGCTTCCCTTTTCTTTTTGACCAAGGTCATAACATTCCTGGTCATCCAAGGTTCACATAACTTGCCATTCCTACCCTTCATTCTTGCAGGAACGTGCCTCTTCTGAACTGTTTTCAACTGCCATTTGAAATAGCCCCACATGTCCGATGTGGATTTCCATTCAAACAGCTGCTTCCAATCAAAAGTCTCCAGTTCCTGTCTAATATTGTTGTAGTTCACTTTCCCCCAGTTTAACACCTTCACCCAAGGACTGCTGTTATCCCTACCCATGAGTATCTTAAAACACACGGTATTTTGGTCACTTCTCCTGACATGCTCCTCAACTGAAACTGCATTCACCTGGCCAGGCTGATTTTCCAAAACTAGGTCCACTATAACCACTTCCCTGGTTGGACTGTTTACGTGTTGTGTCAGGAAATCCTCCTGAATGGTTCTTAAAAATTGTCCTTTAGAGTAAGGAGCAGGAGAATCAGAGGGGATTTGGGAAGAAACATTTTCAGTCAGAGGATCATGGGAATCTGGAGTGCGCTGCCAGAGAAGGTAGTACAGGCTGAAAACCCTACAACCTTAAAAAAAAAATTTGGATGAGTACTTCAAATATCATAACATTCAAATATATGGGACAAGTGCAGGAAATTGAGATTAGTGCACTTTTAGTGACAGTTATGTCAGTGCAGACTCGATCGGCCGAAGGACCTTTTCCGCATTCTGTGTATCTATAAGATGAAATATGAGAGTAAACGAGCTAGTAATATAAAAGAACTAATGAACAAATGAAAAAATTCGGCACAGGAACAGGCCCTTCTGCCCTCCGAACCTATGCTGACCATCGTGCCCTAATTAATCTAAAATCAAACATGCCATTTTTCGCTCCATATTCCTTTATTTCCTCCCTATTCATGTACCCATCTAGGTGCCTTTTAAATGTCTTCAATGTGCCTGCTTCCATCATCTCTTCTGGTAGTGCATTCCAGGCTGCTACCACTGTCTGCATGAAAAACTTCCCTCGATAGTAGGGAAGATAGTAAGAGTTTATTTCGATATCTGACAGGTAAGAGAGAGGCAAGAGTGGACACTAGACTGCTGAAAAATGAGGCTGGAGAAGTAGTGATGGGGCACCAAAGAAATGGCAGGCAAACCGAATAGGTACTTTGCATCAGTTTTCATAGTTTTCACCAGTAGCGTACCAGAATTTCTAGAGAATCCAGGGGCAGAGGTGACTCTAGTGGCCACCACTAAGGAGAAGGTGCTGTGGAAGCTTAAAAGTCTGAAGGTGGATAAATCACTTAGACCAGATGGGCTACACTCCATGGTTCTGAAGGAAATAGCTGAGGATATTACAGAGGAATTGGTGGTATTCTTCCAGGAATCACTGGAGTCAGAGAGGGTCCCAGAGAACTGGAAATGGCTAATGTAACACCTCTATTTAAGAAGGAAGGGAGACAGAAGACAGGAAACTACAGGTTGGTTAGCCTGACCTTGGTCATTCTTAAGATTTTCGAGCCCATTATTAAATGTGAAATTGTGGACAGATTGAAAGTGCATAGTAAAATAGGACTTGAGTCAGCATGGCTTTGTCAAGGGGAGGTCATGCGTGAAAAGTCTGTTAGAATTCTTTGAGGAGGTAATGAGCAAATTAGACACAACAGAGCCAGTGAATGTTATCTATTTGGATTTCCAGAAGGTCGCTAAATAAGTTAAGGGCCCATGATATTTGGAGCAATGTATTGGCATGGATAGAAGACTGGCTGACTAGCAGAAAGCAGAGAGTAGGGACAAAGAGATCTTTTTCAAGATGGCAGCTGATGACCAGCAGAGCTCCATGAGGCTCCGTGTTGAGAACACAACTATTCACATTATACATAAAAGACTGGTCAAAGGAATTGAGGATATTGTTGTTAAGTGTGAGGTTATGCACTTTAGTAGTAAAAATAGAGATGTAGACTATTACTACATGGGGAAAGGCTCAGAAATCTGAAGCACAATGGGACTTTGCAGTCCTAGATCAGGATTGTCTTAAGGTTTAAATGCAGGCTCAGTTGGCAGTTAGGAAGGCAAATACAATGTTAGCATTCATTTTAAAAGGCTCGAATATAAGAGCAGAGACGTACTGCTGAAGTTGAATAAGGCTCTGGACAGACCACATTTGGAATATTTTGAGTAATTTTAGGTCCTGTATCTAAGGAAGGATGAGCTGGCATTGGAGGGGGTTTAGAAGAAGTTTACAAGAATGATCCCTGAGATGAAGGGTTAGTGATATGAGGAGTGGTTAAGGATTCTGGGTCTGTACTTAATGGAGTTTAGAAGGATGAATGAGGATCAGATTGTAATTTTCAGAATGCTGAGAGGCCTGGATAGAGTGGACTTGGAGATGTTTTCCACCAGTAAGAGAGACTAGGACTAAAGGGCATAGCCTCAAAGAGATGCGACAACCCTTTAGAACTGAGATGAGGAGGAATTTCTTCAGTCAGAGGGTGGTTAATTTGTGGAACTCATTGCTGCAGAAGGCTGTGGAGGTCAAACCATTCTGTATATTTAAGACAGATAGATAGGTTCTTGATTGGCAAGAGGATCAAAGGTTAAGGGGAGAAGGCAGGAGAATGGGGTTGAGAAACATATCAGACATGATTGAGTAGTGGAGCAGACTTGATGGGCTAAATGGCCTAATTCTGCTCCTATATCTTATGGTCTTGTAGTTTTCAATGTTACCCTTGCCCATCTGATTTACCCAGTCAGTAATCACTTCTGATAATTGTAGTGCCCTTTTTACACATACCTCCATTATTTCCCAGTTTATACTTTGTCTTATGATGAAACAGTTCTTTTGGGACCTGTAAATGACTCCTGCACCTGACTTCTTTCCCTTATTTTTAATGCAAACTGATTCCACATCATAATCTATTACACCTTTGTCACTCATCACCACTGTACTGATAAGTTTCTTCATAAACAAAGCTACCCGACCACCTTTACTTTCTGCCTATTCTTCTTAAACGTTGAAAACTATGTCTATCAAGTTCTCGGTTGTGGAAGTTGATGTTTTGAGTTTACACCCTTCATCAGGACCCAGCTGAACTTTCCTGTTCCTCTGATGCTGCCTGTGTTTCTCCACACCACACTGTATTGAGTCTGACTCCAGCATCATCAGTTCTTGCTATCTCCAAGTTCCCAGTTATGATCACCCTGCAACCAGATCTCAAATAGCTATCAAGTCATTTATTTCTGTTTGTACCATCAATTCAATATCATTTTACAAACACTGTGTGCATTCAGATATTTTCGTCCTGGCTCCTGAGTCCCGAGCCCCTCTCCCCAAGCCAGGCTTCTCCTCAGACCCTCGCTCCCAGGCCCTGGGCCTCTCGCCCTGAGCTGAGGCCTCTCTCTAGTCCCTCTCTCTGGTCCCTGTCTCTGAACCCAGCCTCTTGCTGCCCGGCCCTGGGCCTCGCTTCCCAGCCCTGGCCCTCCTATGAACAGAGGATATTGATCCTGAATAGTACTTTAATAGCGAGAATAACCATTAAAATTGTCTGTGGCAGGCGTGGAGCTGTACAAACAGGGAGTGCTGGAGAAGTATGGGGTCCAAGTGCTGGGAACTCCAGTCAGCTCGATCATGGCTACTGAGGACAGGCAGCTTTTTGCGGACAAATTACTGGAGATCGATGAGAAAATCGCACCAAGCTTTGCTGTGGAGTCGGTGAGATATAGAAACACAACTATGTACCCTTTATAACATATGAGATCAAATGATTTCTCCCAGAGGTGCTGAGAGTCTGTGGAAGTCTCTTCCTGAAAATCTGGTGGAGGCACATTCCTTGACTATTTGTAAAGCAGCGGTAGATAGATTCTTCATAAACTGGAGGTTTGTGAGAGGTTATTGGGTGTATGGAATGTGGATTTGAGGTTATAATAGTGCAGCAGACTTGATGGGCTAGTGTATTATTGCTGGACTGTTATTCCAGAGACCAGAATAATGTTCTGGGGACCTGGGTTCAAATCCCGCTATGGCAGATGGTGGAATTTGAATTTGGTAAATACTTGGAATCAAGAATCTAATGGTGACCGTGATTGTAGGAAAAAAACCCATTCGGTTCACTAATGTCCTTTAGGGAAGGAAACTGCCATCCTTACCTGGTCTGGCCTATGTGTGACTCCAGACTCTCAGCAATGTGCTCTCTGGGCTGCTTAACTGCTCTTTGGGCAGCTAGGGATGGGCAATAAATGCTGCCTAGCCAGCAACATCCCTCATCCCATGAATGAATAAAATGAATGAATAAAAAAAGGCCTACAACTGCTCATGTGCTCCACCCTTGGTCTTGTTTCCTCACCTGTGCGCTCCACCCCCACCATCCCGTGGGACAGACTCCGGTCCTGTGTCCCCTGGGACTACCCCGCCCTGCCCATCCCTGTCTCCTCAGGGACAGCCCCCTGTCTCCCTTTGAGTTGGTCCTGTCATCCCCCAGCACTGTTTTTCCACGGGACAGTCCTCCTCCCCCGGGACAGTTCCCTTGCCCCCTGGCCTTGTCTCCACTGCCCACCTCGAGACAACCCGATTGGCTCAGTTGGGAGAATCTTGAATTAAAACATGTGACTCCAAAACCACAGCAATGGAGTTGACCCTTAATTGCCCTTTGGGTAATTCGTGATGGGTAATTATGAGCAAGTTTTAGAGGAAAACATTATGCCGTTTAGGAGGAGGGGACTGTGTGACAAAGTCTCTGTGTGGGGTGTGAGCACCGCTCCCTCTCTTCTTAACTACCTCCAACTCAGTCAGTGGAGGCACAGGTCAAGAATGGCCAGAGCTCCCCCCATACCCCTCCTGCAGAAATCCAGTTGGCTGTACTTGGAGCAAATGTTGAGCCATCTCGAATGTGCTTTCCGGATGGGAATGCTGGGTTTGGAATGGGATGACTGGGAGTGATAACTGAGGAATGAAGCCGTTCATTCTGCACTTTTGCTTTAAATCTGTAGCTGGAAGATGCTTACAAAGCAGCGGAGAAGATTGGCTATCCAGTCATGGTGAGGTCGGCATATGCTCTCGGGGGCCTTGGCTCGGGGCTGTGCAATGATAAGGAAAAACTCACAGAAATCGCTGGAAAGGCAAGTGATGTTCTCAGCCTGCATGTGCACTAATGACAAGCTGGTCTGTGAATGTATACTGCCCCTTATTGGAGTTAGCAATTGGGTTCTGTCCCAGTGTTAGAGGCATGGAGTGGGGACTGCCTGGTGTTGGGGGCAGGGACTGCCCCATGTCAGCATGGGGAAGGGTGGGGGTCCCTGGGGGCTGCCACATGTCGGGAAGGGATAGAGGAAGTCTGGGGACTGTCCCATGTTGGCGATATGGACTGGGCAGTGCCCACTGTTGAAGGCGAGTGGCAATTGGCCTATTTGAGTTGGGCAGGCACAGTGGGGAATTTTCCCTATTCCTGGACCTGACTTGAGAGAGACTTCCTAGAGCAGAGATTTTGGCTGGGATTGGGGAGGTTAGGGGATTGGACAGTGGTGCAGTTGCATACTAGATATTGGTACTGCCACCTCCGTATACATTACAGAGGCAGCCTCAGGACTGCTGTGTGCCCGCCTACTGCTCTTGCCCCTGTCAAATTCTCTACAGTAACCTCTTCCCTTGTTGCCTGCATGCCAACCCATGCTCTTGCCTCCTTTTGTTGTGGGCTCAGGATTATTAATCCAGTGATGTTACCACTTCACTGCCACACCAGCTGCCTTCCATGGAATTTCCTCCCTCACAGCACAGTGGGGGACACTACACCGTAAGGGCCGCAGTGGTTCAAGAAGACTGCTTCTCTTGGGCGTTAAGGGATAGGTAATGAACACTGGCCTAGCCAATGAACAAATCAAAAACCAGTTGGAAGATGTGGTCCTGTTCCTTTAACTTCATTTGAGCAGGTTGGGGGATCATAGGCTGAGAGGTGCCAGGAGGAGAGGGGATGGAGAATTGTAAGAAGTGATGACTGACGGACAGAGCATTCCAATGCTTTCTGCTGTCTGACAAGAATGACAGGAGCCTGCAAATGATATCATCTGTAATTTTTTACACTTTCTGTTCTGATAGATAATTATGATTTATTTGGGTGTTCTGACGGTGCATTCTGCAGAAGTCATGCTTACTTTGCTTCTGTCTGTGTGGTTAACTTAGAGACATAGTGGTCTACCGCATAGAAAAAGGCCCTTTGGCCCATCGCATCTCCCCAGATTAAAAACAATCTAACTATGCGCATCCCATTTTCGAGCGCTTGTCTCATAGCCTTCTATAGATAACTCCCCAACCCGAAATGCCAACTTTCCTGCTGCTCTAATGCTGCCTGGCTTGCTGTGTTCTTCCAGCTCCACACTGTGTTATCTCTGACTCCAGCATTGGCAGTTCTTACAATCTCATAGCCTTCTATGCTTTGGCATTGCAAGTGCACATATAAATAATTCTTAAATGTCATAAGGATTTCTGCCTCTACCACCCTTATGGGCAGTGTGTTGTAGATTTTCACCACCCTTTGGATTAAAAGGTTTTTTCCTCACATCTCCTCTAAACCTCCTGTCCTTTGTCTTAAATCTATGCCTCTGGTCATTGATCAGGGAAAAGTTTCTTCCTGTTTACCCTGTCTATGCTCCTCATAATTTTATAGATCTCAATTGTGTCCCCTCTCATTCTCCTCTGCTCCAAGGAAAACAACCTCAGTCAGTCCAAAACTCTTTTCATAACTGAAACTCTCCAGCCCAGGCAACATCCTGGTAAATCTCCTCTGTACCTTCTTCAATGTTAGCAAATCCCTCTTACAAAATGGATTCCAAAACTGCACACAATAATCTACCTGTGGCCTAACCATTATTTTATACAGTTCCAGCTCTCTGTTCTTAAACTCCATGCATCGTACTGATACAATATGCTGTCAACAAAGCAGTGTGTAAATTGAATTGAGATGCTCCTGCTTGTGTCTTGAGACCATGAATACAAAAACACAAGTGTACAGTACAGCCATAAACAAGTAGTGAACAAGAATTGCACACAAGTGTGAAATGCCCAGTTTTCCTGTGGCCTGGTCAAATATCCAACTGTAACTGTTCCAGTTGACTGCAAAGCCTGTACCTGTTGAGACAGTCTCGATGTCTGGGAATATTCCTGAACTGCCAGTGAGCCCCGAGAAGAATTTCATGTTGTGGCAAGTGATTTGTACGTCAGTGACTGGAATTTTCATTTTGCTAGACATCTTGGTTTACAGGGTGGAGTATTTGGGTGCCACTGTGAAGAAAGACAGTGAGAATTCAGTAAGATGTTTGACAAGGTTCTTCATGGTAGACTGGTTAGCAAGGTTAGATGACAGGGAATACAGGGAGAACTAGCCATTTGGACACAGAACTGGCTCGAAGATAGAATACAGAAGGTGGTGGTGGAGGATTGTTTTTCAGACTGGAGGCCTGCGACCAGCAGTGTGCTGCAAGGATTGGTACTGAGTCTGCTTCTTTTTGTCATTTATATAAATGATTTGGATGTGAACATAGGAGGCATGATTAGTAAGTTTTCAGATGATACCAAAATTGGAGGTGTAATGGACAGCGAAGAAGGTTACCTCAGAGTACAATGGGACCTTGATCAGATGGGCCAATGGGCCGAGGAGTGGCTGATGGAGGTTAATTTAGATGAATGTGACGTGCTGCATTTTGGAAAGACAAATCAGGGCAGGACTTATACACTTAATGGTAAGGTCCTGGGGAGTGTTGCTGAACTGAGACCTTGGAGTGCAAGTTCATAGTTCCTTGAAAGTGGAGTCGCAGGTAGGTAGGATAGTGGAGAAGGCATTTGGTATGCTTGTCTTTATTGGTCAGTGCATTGAGTATAGGAGTGGGGCGGTCATGTTGCAATTGTAGAGGACATTGGTTAGGCCACTTCTGGAGAATAGGAAGGATGTTGTGAAACTTGAAAGGGTTCAGAAAAGATTTACAAGGATGTTGCTAGGGTTGGAGAGTTTGAGCTATAGGGAGAGGTTGAATAGACTGGGGTTATTTTCCGTGTAGCGTTGGAGGCTGAAGGGTGACCTTATAGATGTTTATAAAATCGTGAAGGGCATGGTTAGGGTGAATAGCCAAGGTCTTTTCCCTGGGGTGGGGGAGTCCAAACCTAGACAGCATAGATATAAGATGAGAGGAGAAAGATTTAAAAGGGACCCTAAGAGGCAACATTTTCATGCAGATGGCGTTGCATGTATGGAATGAGCTACCAGAGGAAGTGGTGGAGCCTAAGGCATCTGGATGGTAATATGAATAGGAAGGGTTTAGAGAGATATGGGCCAAACACTGGCAAATGGGACTAGATTAATTTAGAATATCTGGTCGGCATGGACGATTTGGACTGAAGGGTCTGTACAACTCTATGACTATGACTCAAATTCTGAGAGGTGGAGTCGCTGTGTGACAGGTGCTGTGTTACATTGGAATCGCTGCTCAGCACCATCAGGAATCTCAAAATATGCACTCAGGGGTGGCATGGTGGCTCAGTGAGGGTTCAATTCCACCCTCGGGTGACTGTCTGTGTGGAGTTTGCACATTCTCTTCGTGTCTGCGTGGGTTTCCTCCAGCTGCTCCGGTTTCCTCCCACAGTCCAAAGATGTGCAGGTTAGGTGGATTGGCCATACTAGATTGCCCGTAGTGTTCAGGGATGTGTAGCATAGGTGGGTTATAAGGGGATGGGTCTGGGTGGGATGCTCCAAGGGTCGGTGTGGACTTGTTGGGCCTGTTTCCACACTATAGCCATTCTATGTGAATGTGAAACATGAGCTCAAATATATACAACATTCTGCTCAAACATGGGGGAGGAATGGTGGTAAGCTGTCTTATTTAGAGTAAGATTGACATACTTTGCAAGTTTATGTAGATAGACCATTTAACCACAGAAAATGTCGCACATCCTCCCATTGCTTTCTCAGGAAACTTCCTTCTGACTGTTTATTAATGTTTCATGTCGACGGCCTGATTTCAGTTGACAATGACGCCGAGTTTTGAGAACAGTCTGGTCTTCAACAGCACGGAGACCAGCCGGGGAAGTGGGTGGATTGAATTTAATGGGGAGCACTGTTGAGCATCGAATGGATGAAGGAGGTGAATGAGAATGTGCAGCCCTACTTTGAAGGGGGCAGCAGTAATGTTCAGGACAGGGTATACAAGTCTTAGACCTCCACGCTGCTTGAGGCTTGATCATTGGGCTCCCCATTGCCATTGGCAGCTCGCGTCTACCCGCAGCAACATGTACACTGTTTCCCTGAATGTACAGATGACACTAAAGTAGGTGGGAAGGCAAGTGATGAGGATGATGGTTAAAGTTTGCGGAGGAATATGGACATGTTAAGTGGGTGGCAAACAACTTGGTGGTTGGAATATAATGTGGGGAAATGTGAAGGTTATGTACTTTGGCAAGAAGGATAGAGGAGCTGAATATTATCTAAAAGAAAGCTACAGACCAGAGGTGTTTGGGAATCCTCGTCCATAAATCACAAAATGCTAGTGTGTAAATCCAGTGCATAATAGGGAAACAAGTGGAGTGTTGGCCTTTATTTCAAAGGGAATGGAGTAGAAAAGTAGGAAGGTTTTGCCAAAAGTATATAAGGCCCCAGCTGGAATAATGTGAACAGTTGTGGGCCCCTTATCTAAGGAGAGATGTACGGGCATTAGAAGCAGTCCAGAGAAGGATTACAAGGCTGATACTGGGTGTGGAGGGACGCTGTCATGAGGAGAGGTTGAGTAGTTACACATTGGAATTTGGAAGAACGGGAGGTGACTTTATTGAAACGTACAAGATCTTTAAGGAACTTGACAGAGTAGATGCGGAATGGTTGTTTCTCCTTGTGACAGAGTTTAGGACCAGAGGGCATAATCTCAGAATAAGGGGTCATGCATTTAAGACAGAGATGAGGAGCAATTTCTTCTGTGAGGGTAGTGAATCTGTGGAATCCTTTACCACAGAGGGCTGTCGAGATTGGGTCAGTAAGTATGTTCAAATGAGATACAGAGATTTTTAATCAGGAAGGAAATCAAGGGTTATGGGGAAAAGGTAGCAAAGTGGAGTTGAGAGTAATCTGATCAGCCGTGACCTCATCGAATGGCCGAGCAGACTCAATGGGCTGCTGCTAATTCTTCTGGTAAAGCCCTAAGACCATAAGAAATAGGAATGCCCTTAGGCCATTTGGCCCCTTGAGCCTAATCCATCATTCAGTAGAATCATGGCTGATCCATCATTCCTCATGTCCATTTTCCTGCCCTTTCTCCATAACTTTTGATTCTCCTGACTGATCAAGAATTTGTTTATCTCAGCCTTAATATACACAAGTATTCTACCCCCACAGCTCTCGGTGGCAAGGTGTTCCAAAGACATTCAACCTTCTGAGAGAAGAAATTACTCCTCATCTCTGTCTTAACTTGGCAGCACTTAATTCTGAGATTATGCCCTCTGGCCCTCAACTCTCCTATGAGGGAAAACATCCTGTCAGCACTTACCCTGGCAAGCTCCTTTATGTTGCAGTTTTCTGCAGTTTTTCTCCATTTAAATAATACTGTTCTTTAGATCCCCCTTTCAAAATGAACAATTTTGCATTTTCCCACATTTTACTCCATTTGCCAATTTCTTGCCCACTTACTTAACCTGTCAATATCTCTCTGTAAACTCCATCCCTCTTACAACTTGCCTTTTCCCCTGTTTTTATGTTGTTTGCAAATTTGGAGTGATGGTCTTGTTTCACAGCTCAGTCTCTTAAGGAGTTCTGGCAACATGGTCATTGACAGTCTTTGCTACCCTCTCCATGTGTTTATGCCCCATGAGCAAGAGAGAGAGTGTGCTGCCACACAGAGGGAATTGTAGTAAAATTGACACTGCACTAAGCCCTCTGAACAATATAATATCCACATGTACTTTTTTCCAAGGTTCATTGGACTATGAACGCTAGCCCTCACCTCTCTTCTTCCCCATCTATGAGGCACACTTCCCCTGGTCTGTACACAGCCCTCTGGTGATTGCCTTTCTCTATATGAGAGGGTTCCTTGCTGACTTTTTGTGCTGTCTGCAGATTTTAAAAGTCCAGGTCCTTAATATATGAATAATTGCAACAGCTCTAATACAGAGCCTGGCAAACACCAAATAGTGAGAGGTGTTTGGTAATTGGGGTTCCTCTTGCATGCCCCCCCCAACCCTGGTGCCCTCTAATGTATTTTTTTCACATTTAGCAATGATCTTGTCCTCCTGTCTCTCATCAGTGGAGTTCTTTCCGTCATATCAAATTGAGATACTGCTTTCACTGTCTGACAAAGCTAACCTTCCAAGAACACATTAAAACAGAAAGTGCTGGAGAATCTCAGCAGATCTGGCAGCGTCTGGGCAGAGAAGCAGAGTAAACATTTCGAATTGAGTGATCCTTCTTCAGAACTAGTGCACATTTGCTTAACCACACCGCCCGACCATCCTTGGTTATCATTCATTTTCTGATCACAGTTATCTGCCTTGTTTACCAACACTGACTGTCACTTTGCCATCTTATAATTATTCCTCTCTGCATCTTATGCCCAACTTTTTTAACCACTGCCTTTCATCCATACTACACTCCCTTAGTCCAAATTTTAAATTGTGGATGTGCATACTGAATGAATTAGCTGAAATGGCTTAATAACAGTGGTTCTTGTCTGTTTGTTGGAGCACAGCGCCAGGTTTATGTTGATTGTTCTGTTGTCTTTCCAGGCCTTGGCTATGACCAATCAAATCCTTGTGGAACAGTCACTGCTGGGCTGGAAGGAGGTAGAGTATGAAGTAGTGCGTGATGCAGCTGATAACTGTGTGACTGTCTGCAACATGGAGAACTTTGACCCCTTGGGAATTCATACAGGTAAAACTGTCAGAAGGGAATAGATAGTCCATTCTCTAATTTTGTGTAGCATTTGGGAACTTAACTGTGTCAGGATTTCAAGCTGGGAGCCCCATGTTACTTTAAAGTCAATACAATACCACTTGCTGACTGGCCTTCCTGTTCGCTCATGGTCTTTGATTGGCAATGACCCATACCTAGCCCACAGTGTGCCACTCTGTTTCCTATTGGATCTTGGTACAATTTCCAGGGGATTTTGTTGTTTGCCCAGCAGCAGCAGGTAGATCTGTGCCTTTCATCCTCAATACTGTCCTTCTTGCTGAGACGCTTGGTTGATACACAGGTCATGATTCTCTGAGAAATGCCTGGTGCGGTGGGAAAGCTTTACCTTTTGTAGAGTTTATCTTTTGTCTCTTCGCTGACCCATGGCACATTGACTCCAAAACACGGGGTTCCTGACGTGTTATTCCAAAACCAGTGAGCGAATGCAGCTCTGAGAAGCTCTCAAACTGGGCCCTACCCCTGCACAGTGAGACCCTGGATGGATGCAGTGTTGGCTTGCACACACCATTTATTTCCTTGGTAAACAGGGAGATCTTGCCTTCATACAGGAAGTGTTTTTGATATGACTATCAAATTTTTAATCCAGCACATTGAACAGGAGCATTAGCATTCTGGGAAGTTAACATAAAAATGGAAGCTACCTGCAGGAGCGTGATAGGTTCCCACTGTCCCGCTATAGCTCCAGGTGCAGTGTGATATCCAGTCATTGCTGTTCTGTGCCTATTGAAGGATATGGTAAGCTTTGAATGGGGGTAGCTCTCATTGACTCAGATTGCAGATGGCAGGGCTTGAGAAGGGTGGTTGGGTGGGGTGTGACGGGGTTGACACTGAGCTCACAGTTTAACAGTGTGGAGATTCACTGAGGAGGATCAATGGTGATGAGAGTCCTACAAGTCAAGAGGAATAGGTGTTGGTCTGTCTGTGCAATCAGGTGAAGCGACTCTGTTTCAGATATGCTCTGCTCGGTCCCTGGAGCCGTGGTTCTTGGTTGGTAATCCTGGTGCTTTGTGTCTTATCTTTTAGGAGACTCGGTTGTTGTAGCCCCCAGTCAGACTCTGTCCAATGAGGAGTATCACATGCTGCGTGAAACCGCGATCAAGGTGGTGCGCCATTTGGACATCATTGGCGAGTGCAACATTCAGTACGCATTGCATCCCGCCTCACTGGAGTACTGCATCATTGAGGTCAATGCCCGACTCTCGCGCAGCTCAGCTTTGGCCTCCAAAGCCACTGGGTAAGGAAATTGAAGGGGGAGGGGGAGGAGCAGTGCACTTCCTATCCAATGAGCACACTTCATAAAGACATATCCCTATATGGCTGCTAGCAATTTGAAAGAAGATGAAAAGGCATGGAAGTGGAGAGCGGCCCATAGTATAACATTTTCTATAGTATTTACACCACACAAACCATCTTGTCTTCTGAGATAGTAGGAACTGCAGATAACAAGGTGTAGA